AAATATATAAAAAGATATTATCAAACATAACGGATGTAAAAAATCGGCACGAATTAAAAAGATGCTTAAACTGTTAAATATAATTAAATGCAATGAAAACAATTACAAGAAATTTTCCTTTTCCTTTTTTTAGAATTTGGGGAAATATTCCCACAACCCCTATTTTGGAGGTTTTTAAATATTTTCTTATGAAAATCTTAATTTTGTATGTTTTTGTTATTTTTCATAAATAAACAATTACCTACCTAAATAAAATGTTGCACTGGACACTAGACGGAATGAGAAGGTCAAATTCTAAGCTAAATTACTAGTCCGACTTTTTGACCTCGTAGCTTCTTCCTTTTTAATTTTAAGCCCAAATATGAGAAAAACTATTTTTTTTTCCAAAACTAAAATCTTTTTTTCAAAATTCGGTTTTTTTAAAATCCCACGGGCAACGCCGGGCTCTTCAGATTTAGACAATAATACTAGTATATCTATATAATAAAGCTCTTTGGTCATACAATACATATATATTTATTTATCATATATCTGAACAAACGGCTGAACCAAATTTGCTGGAATTATTGAAGGGAAGCATAGGATGGGTATCCCGGGGGTAAGAATTAAAAATGAAATTAAATAAAAAAATTATTTTAAATAAAATCATTTTTCTTCAAAATTTTAATTTTTTTAAAAAAATTTTTTAAAATTTATTTTCTGAATTTTTAGACAATAATACTGGTATATTGTTTATATTTAAAGTTTGCATAATACTTTCATAAACTTTTTACAAAGAGAATTATTGAAACAATTGAGGAGAGGAAAAAGTGCACACAATAAAATTCTGTAAAATTTTGTTGTTATAAACTTTGCAAAACTTTAATCCTCAGGAAGATATGAGGTAACAGCAATCTGTCAGGGTGAATTTTGACATTTTGTATGAATAAATGTTGATGATAAAATTTTTCCAATTTATAAAACATCTTAGATTTAGTGGAATATTTTTTACGTTTAAAAATCTTAACAGTTTATAAAAACCAAAGTACTTCATATTACTTCTCAAATCCTATTTTTAAAGGGCTATTTAAATATTTCTGTTAGGCAGAACTTATCTAGAAAATGAACAAATTTACTCCAATAGTTTCTCCCATTGGCATCTAAAAGGGACCTATATATTTGGCAAGAATAAACGTAAAACCAATTGGACCCAAAATTTCTGCTGTATCTCACATGACCCCAAAGAAAGTTTATGGTAAATCTGAATTACTCCAATAGTTTCTCCCATTGCCATCTAAAAGGAACCTATATATTTGGCAAGAATGTTTGTTTGTCTCCAATAAACGTTAAACCAATTGGACCCAAAATTTCTGCTGTATCTTACATGACCCCAAAGAAAGTTTATGGTAAATCTGAATTGAAAAATTTTGCCTTAAAAAGCTCACCTTCAAACTTTTAGAAATCCATAGTAAAATTTGGAAAATTCAAATTTTTTGAAATCTTAACAAAATGTCTGTAAAAGTCGACGAAATTTTAGTTTTACCAAACATGGCGGCTTGAAAACAACATTTCATTTCAAAGCTAAAATTTGACTAGAAAAAGAGGCCCAAAGGCACCCTGAAAACCTATTATAAGAAAAATAAAAAAGAAGGATACAAGATGTTTACATTGATTACTGAATACAGATTCTGGAAAGGATTTGATTGTATCATCTTGGTGCAGGGGGTTCAATACTGGAAGCTTTCCCGTTTTTAACGCCATCGGTTGTCTACCAGGTTGTATCCTTAAATTTAGATTAAATTGAAATAGAAAATACAAAACAATAACAATGATGATAATGATGATAATGATGATAATGATAATAAAGTTGATAATGATGAAAATGATGATAATGATGATAAAGATGATAATGATGATAATGATGATAGTGATGATAATGATGATAATGTGATAATGATAATAAAGTTGATAATGATGAAAATGATGATAATGATGATAATGATNTTAGGTTTTGAGATTCTAAATTGGTTGGGTTGACTTAGTTTCCAAGAAAAATAAACCAAGTGCGGGTAAACGGTGGGATCAAAATGAGTAGCCTGGGCAACACTGGGTTCCCATGCTAATAAATGCTAAAGTGAAACACAGCAAAATTGTTAACTTTTCTTAAAGTTTACCTTATCTTATCAAATATCCAGAATTCCTCTATCAATTTAGGATATACGGAGGAATTCGCATTTGATAAACTCATACTGAAACATTTCATTCGCTAAAGGGAGTGATCTTTCAAAATGAAAAGGGGTATATTTAACTATATAACTAATTGAGACTTTTCCTCAAACTTTGGTTTTCCAATCTATATATCTTTGCGACCCACTGTCATAGACCTTAGATATTTCAAACTTTGAAAAATCCAAATTTGAAATACTAAAGGTTTACACCATCAGGTTGCAAAGATTGTAGTGATTACAAATTTGAGATATATGGTCAATGTTATGCTTATGTTTTTGATTAATAATGATTTTTATTTTAGCAGTTTAAAATTACAAATTTCCAGGTAAAGCTGAGTTCCCAGGACATTGATTAAATACTTTATTGGAGGCATTTTAGCTGCTCCTGGTGACATTAAACTGAACTATCCAATATTCACCTGGTGATATTAAACTGAACTATCCAATATTCACCTAGTGACATTAAACTGAACTATCCAATATTCACCTGGTGACATTAAACTGAACTATCCAATATTCACCTGGTGATATTAAACTAAACTATCCAATATTCACCTGGTGACATTAAACTGAACTATCCAATATTCACCTGGTGACATTAAACTGAACTATCCAATATTCACCTGGTGACATTAAACTGAACTATCCAATATTCACCTGGTGACATTAAACTGAACTATCCAATATTCACCTGGTGACATTAAACTGAACTATCCAATATTCACCTGGTGACATTAAACTGAACTATCCAATATTCACCTGGTGACATTAAACTGAACTATCCAATATTCACCTGGTGACATTAAACTGAACTATCCAATATTCACCTGGTGACATTAAACTGAACTATCCAATATTCACCTGGTGACATTAAACTGAACTATCCAATATTCACCTGGTGACATTAAACTGAACTATCCAATATTCACCTGGTGACATTAAACTGAACTATCCAATATTCACCTGGTGACATTAAACTGAACTATCCAATATTCACCTGGTGACATTAAACTGAACTATCCAATATTCACCTGGTGACATTAAACTGAACTATCCAATATTCACCTGGTGACATTAAACTGAACTATCCAATATTCACCTGGTGACATTAAACTGAACTATCCAATATTCACCTGGTGACATTAAACTGAACTATCCAATATTCACCTGGTGACATTAAACTGAACTATCCAATATTCACCTGGTGACATTAAACTGAACTATCCAATATTCACCTGGTGACATTAAACTGAACTATCCAATATTCACCTGGTGACATTAAACTGAACTATCCAATATTCACCTGGTGACATTAAACTGAACTATCCAATATTCACCTGGTGACATTAAACTGAACTATCCAATATTCACCTGGTGACATTAAACTGAACTATCCAATATTCACCTGGTGACATTAAACTGAACTATCCAATATTCACCTGGTGACATTAAACTGAACTATCCAATATTCACCTGGTGACATTAAACTGAACTATCCAATATTCACCTGGTGACATTAAACTGAACTATCCAATATTCACCTGGTGACATTAAACTGAACTATCCAATATTCACCTGGTGACATTAAACTGAACTATCCAATATTCACCTGGTGACATTAAACTGAACTATCCAATATTCACCTGGTGACATTAAACTGAACTATCCAATATTCACCTGGTGACATTAAACTGAACTATCCAATATTCACCTGGTGACATTAAACTGAACTATCCAATATTCACCTGGTGACATTAAACTGAACTATCCAATATTCACCTGGTGACATTAAACTGAACTATCCAATATTCACCTGGTGACATTAAACTGAACTATCCAATATTCACCTGGTGACATTAAACTGAACTATCCAATATTCACCTGGTGACATTAAACTGAACTATCCAATATTCACCTGGTGACATTAAACTGAANGTACTATCTTATTTCACTTTATACTGGTTATCTCAGTACTTTCTTATTTCACTTTATACTGGTTATCTCAGTACTGTCTTATTATTTTACTTTATACTGGTTATCTCTGTACGATCTTATTTCACTTTATACCGGTTATCTCAGTACTTTCTTATTTCATTTTATACTGGTTATCTCTGTACGATCTTATTTCACTTTATACTGGTTATCTCAGTACTATCTTATTTCACTTTATACTGGTTATCTC